AGAAATACAAGTCCGTCGGCCCGATGAGTAATCAGTGATTAGAAGGGAAACGCTCAGTAGACCTTCATAGCGTGAAAACCCTCTCGGGAATTGCCGGACCGGGCCGGCCGGTCCGACAAAGCACGGATATAACACTGGGGTACACAACCTATAATGGGCCCTTACCCCCCTCTTCTTCTGAGAATATTTCTGGTCAGTAGGTGTCATGCCAAAAGGCCAGGGCCACATGAACATCCCGAAATTTGGAAATTCAATGCAAGGAGAGAATATATCAGCAGCGAACACCGACCATGCAAAAACTCTCACAAGGATATTCCACTTTCGTTGAATTCCACTTCAAATAAGGCCACGCAGCGCCGAAGAAAAATGACATGTTCTGATGTCACCAAAAAATAGTCCCAAGCGCCTCCAAAACTTCCTCAGTTTCCTTGCTGAGGAGGTATCTAAATCTCCCTTTCTCTCCTTTTTGGGTGTATTTTTCATAATTCTTTTGGGCACCCACAAACACCGTAACCAAACCCCCAAACGACCCCGACAAGGGCTGGATTTGAGGAAATTTGGGGACCATCCTTTGGTGGGGCTTCCCGGGGCCTTAGTTCAGCAAGAGTGTATCCCTCCGGCCGTCCTTGGACACGTCAGGCTCGCCGACCCGCACGCTCAAAAGCGCCGGCAGCTACTGCTCACGATGTCTTGCAATTGGCAATTGCTCCGGACAACGGGGCAATCCACGTCGCGGTGCCTTTGGGCCAGCTCGCACCCTCTCGGCACACAGCCCAGAACCGCGGTGAAATATGCGGCGGTGTTCCTCTCGTTATCCAGAACATGCCCGGGCCATCTTCACTGGCACTGCTGGCACGTCACCTTGCACCTGTGCATGGCCAATCTCGCAGCTCTCCTGCTCCCTCTCAGCTCCAACCTCAGACTGAGGCTGGCCCTTCCTCGTTGGTGGCTGCCCCGACACCGGCCACACCGTGGCCTCCTCCTGCACCTCCCGTGCTTCTTCCATTGGTAATTCCCCACACACCGGACCGCTCGAGAGAACCTGAAGCGGAACTCCAGTCGCCGGTGCTGTACATTCCTCCCATCCAAGAGGTCGAAAATGACGACACTGATGCAGCGCTACTGCAACAGTACGATGCTGGGTGCGAATACGTATGAGATGCTCAGCTACGAAGACGAGGACAAAGAGGAGGACGAAGGGGAGAACGGTTTGGACGAGGAGGACGTGGACACTGAAGACCTGCCAGACAGGGCCACCTTGCTCAGTAATGTTCGTGTAGCTGCAGTCAAGCGGGTCGAGAAAAACCGACGCGCTGGGGGGCGGAAAACGTAGTGGGCGATGCGCAGAGCGTGGACGGTGAGTGTCAATATAATCCCACCAACTCTGACCTAATCTGCTCCCAGGAATTCGTCGACAAGACCATCGCGGCGAGTAAAATACCCGATGAAATTGTCGACGAGATCAGCCTCCTTCTATCTTTCGTTTTGTACCGGTCATGATAATTCAGTTATAAATAATCGGATGATGATTCTGTGCGCGCCTTTCAAGGCAAAATGATACAATTAGGTTTCACCTGTGATAAGAATAAAAGATGGTGGTGCTGACTATTCTGTGAGGTATTCTCAACCGCCCCTGGGAATCGTGTTGAATGCGTCGGATATGATAGACTGCATATGACACGTTGAAGGTCACCGCTACCAAGCTACGGCGTGAGTCGGAACCTTTGAATTCCCAAATCGCTTGGGAAGCGGCGCAGTTGTTTGGAAATTGAGGAGGGCCGTGTCTCTGCAAAAAGAAACATTGCTGGGACATTTTAGTCATCAGTGACCCGACACAACTCTCGACTCGAGAGTTTTTGCGGCTATCTCCCGGATGACGGTCCAAAGAAGTGGAGATCGACACCAGCTGCTGGTCTTGAGCGACACGACACGACTCTCGACTCGAGAGACTCAGCGTGTTTCTACCGGGGGCCAGGTGAGGATGCTTTCAAACACTGAGCCCAGACGGCTTTTAAAGGCCTCTCCCTGTCCAGATCGGTAGAAACACTCATTGTTCAGACAAATACTATAATAATCACTCAAATGCCACCTGCCTTTGTGGCTTTGTACCCACCAAAGCAGCCGCCATTGTTTCGAATCAATAACGGAATTGAACAATCTTGCCACTTAACGTGTTTCAACAATTTCCTTTCAAGTACTTATCGACGTATGTACCAAGTTGTATGCGTGGTGCAAAATCGGACACCAGTCCAAGGCTCCGAGTAGTGGCTAATAACTGAACAATGCACACTATTGCTGTCAAGTTGCTTTGTCACCGCTTCGTAAATGTGTTCGCAATGGGAGTCTCTTTTTCTGTGATAAATACATGAAAATTGGCGAGGTTGAAGATAATCCATTATTATTATGATGGGGCTAGGACGAGAGGACGAGAGGAAGCAACAGAAACAGCGTGATGGTGAAAAAATATTTTGTATTTCCATTTTTGGTTGCGGGAGGTTTGGTTTGCAAGAATTCCCTTAATCGGAGGCAGGCGGTGGATGACCTGGCCACCCAAGACGCGTTGACCAGACGATCGAGGTGGAGGGCTGAAGCAGTGACCGCCCCGCCAAAGAGGTTCGGCACACGCCTAGCGGAGTTTAAATTCTGATGACCGGGGTCATGATCGGTCAGTGGGGTGATCGGTCACCGACATCCGCTATAGAACTCACACCCGTCTTCAAGTGGAACGGAGCTTCCACGAGTCTATTAACGATTCACTCAGCAAGGATGTCGAGCTGATTACTGATTGGACAGATTGCCCTCCCTTTCTTCGAACCTCCAACTTTCCAACTATCAATAGGGGAAGTCAGAGTGGACGATTCTGGACGATTCAGCGTCGATTCAGCGTTCGATTCAGATTCGATTCTGAGGTGAGAATCGATGCAGAATCGACTTCACCAGAATTGAAAGAGAATCGATGTTTCGTGTTGTTCCTCCTCCGGAGGAGGAACAACCACAGAATCACTTCAGGCTACCTATATAAGTACCCCCTAGGGTCACACATTTCATTGAGTTAACTATCCCTAAGGGGTCCAGGTTTGGGTGGATGTCCCACCTTGGTGGGATGTCCCACTTTTCTATATGTTCCCACCGTGGGATGTCCCACCTCCACTGTTGGGACATCCCACCCCGCCAAAGGCGGGCCCGAAAAATTTTGTGGGATTTCCCCCAGGAGGTGGGATTGCCCACCTAGGTCACGTCACCCTGGGTAGGACCCCATGCACCCCCTGCTACCAAAATCGCTTTTTTGTGCCCGTATGGGCTCCGTTTGGGCTGTTCTTTGGTGTTCCATGAAGCCCTGGCCCAGGGTGTCTTAGCACCATATATGCTGTGCATTAGCGTGGCAAAGAAAAAGTTGCCTTTTTCCCCAAAAAAAGTCGGTTCACTGGCTCTACCCTGCTGCTTTAGATAATGGTGTATACCAATTCCTTGATCATTCAATCCAACCTATTGGTGCCCTAGCTATCATAATACACAGCACAAACCTGTTCAATCCTGGGGCTGCAGGACCATAGCATGGCATGGCTCAGACTGAGACCATTATAACTGCCTCAGCCATGTAGGTAGGTACATCATACGCCTGTTTCTCAATATGTATGAGATGAGAGGAACACTCTCCCTATTGTCTGGCTTTCCTTTCTTCTACCATGATTCAGCAAAGGTGGTACATATGTGGGTACTGCTACATCCATGTATCCTTGGGCTAGCAACTGGCTCTGTTCAGGAATTGCTGAGAGGGTTTTCACACTATGAAGGTGTACTGAGCGTTTCCCTTCTCATCACACTTGACTCATCAGTCAGACAGACTTGTATATTACTCTGAGGCCCTTATTGTCTTAACCGTCATCTGACTCAGGCTTTCTTACCAAGCCTGAAGCCTTTATTGTCTTACCTTATGAAGACACCAAGGTGTCTTATTGTCTTAACATTTCTACTTACAGAACTGGCGCAGTACAGTAATCAATTGAGAGAGAGGAAATTGTCAGATAGTCAGTGGAGGTGACTGGCATAGGCATGGTGTGGAATTCCCCCTTGTTTCTTATCACCCAGTGAGATGTCCCACTTCTCTTGTTTCTATGGTGGGACATCCCACTTGCCTTCATTTTGTCGTGGGATGTCCCACTTCCCTTGTTTTTATGGTGGGACATCCCACTTGCCTTCATTTTGTCGTGGGATGTCCCACTTCCCTTGTTTTTATGGTGGGACATCCCACTTGTCTTCATTTTGTCGTGGGATGTCCCAATTCCCTTCATCTTGTCGTGGGATGTCCCACTGCCCCACCCTTTAGGCCATTAATGACTTGTGATTTTCTTTTTCTCTCAATCTCTGACTTCAATTATTTTATCTATTCTATTGCTCTAATACATTTTATTACGTACGTAGCCTACTCGAATTCACATTATATACACCAATACTTGTTTATCTTGACCCAAATTCCCTTTCACCAATTGTTGTTCATACAAGTCATTTCCATCATTCAAGTGAAATATTTAATTATCCATTGACTATTGAATGTACAAGACCTCTTCCACCACTCTATCGTTGTCTTTTTACTTTTTTCTCCGTGTCCTCCAGCGCAAATTCCCTTTTTGGGACGATAGCCGTAGTGTTCCCTTTTTGGTCACCACCCATTTTTTTTCGCGCAGTCATTTTCACTATTCAAATAAAATGTGTCACCATCGATTCAACCCTAAGTACAGACATTCATTTGCTACTGTATTGCCCTCTCTCTTCCCCTTTTTTTCTTGTCACTCAGACAAAACTTCCTCTTTGGGACGATATCGGTTGTTGTCCCCTGTTTGGCACAGAGGCCTGCTTTTCGTACAAGTCAGAAAAAAAAAAAAAAAAAAAAAAAGAGCAAACAAAAAAAAGACATACAATATATCATATCATTTCCCGTAAAAAAAGACACGAACGCCGCGACTCCTGCCTGCCCCAGCTCTTCAAAAAGGAAAAAAATATAGCCTGGCCCCGAATCGAACGGGGGACCTCCACCATAAGAAATCTGATCCGCGTACGGATAGATGGCGTGTTACCACTACACCACCAAGCCCATACAGGAACTGACCTGCAGTGGAGTAACGTCCAATATCTGGTGATACCTATCCAAAAGGAAAAAAATCTGTACCCCGTTTTGGGATAGCCCGACCCCGAATCGAACGGGGCGCCGTCTTTGAAGGCGGGGTGTCCAACACCCGGGCTTGCTGCACAAAATAAAAACCAGTAGATAGGCATAGAGCTATCACAAGGGGAAAAAAGATGGCTTAGCCCCGAATCGAACAGAACCTCCGCAAGAACGTTTACGTATCTTGGTCCCACCAAGCGTATGCGGCGTGATACCTTTACACCACCAAGCCCATGCAGGAGCCGACCTGAAGTAGAGTAAGGTCCAATACATGGCGTTACCGACCCAAATAAAACAAACCTGTCTCCCGTTTTTGGGATAGCCCGACCCCGAATCGAACGGGGCACCGTCTTTGAAGACGGGGTGTCCAACACCCAGGCTTGATGAACAAAATAAAAACCAGTAGATAGGCATGAAACTAATACACATTTCACATAAAGTCGTAAAAAATTGTAAGACTAGCCCTCCAATCCGTGTATCTCGATCTCCGACTCATAACGGTTGAGGTCATCCCTAGAAGCGATGATGGGCGTCATTTGCGGGGGTATAGTAATCCAAATGCCCGGCGTAGACTCGTATACCTGTGTACCGGTCTGCGCGAGTGGGGTGGTCTGTAGGCAAGAACCCGGTGGCACGGAACACCTTTGCGGGCCCCGGTACCTTGAACTTCATTCTCAGGTCGTTCCGCCTGGGTTCCTCTTCGTCCCTATATTTCGATCCCGATGCCTGACCCGTACGGTCCGACGGCCCCTCACCCTGCTCCTTCCGTGGACGTTTCCGGTCGCGGTCTGTAGCGCCCCGTGGATGCTCCTTGCGTTTCGTATTCTGCTTTGATGCCATCTCCAGCAAGTCAACGCGCGGCAGAGCCATTCGCGCCTCCAGCGCACTTCGAACTCCGGGGGCAACACCGCCGCGAGGTGGAGGTGGTGGATATGCAGGTGAACGGGCACGCCGTGCAGGTGGAGGGGAACAGCGGCCAGCGCCGCCCGCAGGTGCTGGGGAACGGGGACGTCGTCCAGGAGGAGGGGAACGGCGGCCAGTGCCGCCCGCACCACCCGCAGGTGCTGGGGAACGGGGACGCCGTACAGGTGCAGGCTTCAGTGCCTTCTCAACGCGGTGGTGAAGATCGTTGCGAGTCGGAGGTCCTGGCGGCCGATTGGCGCCCCCGCGACCTGGGTTCGGCGAGCTCGAGCGGCCACGCCCTGTAGGCGCAGGTGAGTGGGTGCGCGAGCGCGCCCACGGTCGCCTGCCGCCTGCGCGACCCGCGTCGGATGAGGTCGAGCGGCGACGCCGTGTCGGTCCAGGGGAAAGCGAACTGGAGCGCGAGCGCGAACGCGAGAGCCTCTCGTCCCGCTGCGCCTGCTTCCCCTTTCGGGCCGTCGCTGCTTTCTTGGCCGCTCCCGCCAAATGCCTGTTGTACGCCTTGCTGTGCTTGACGCGGAGTAGCGACAACCCATCGCTGGTGTCGACCAGCGAAACTTCGCCTTGCTCCTCGTCCGGTAGGTCCTTTTCATCTGCGCCGATCGTCAGACATCAACTTTAAACGACAGCGCAGAAACGTACCATGGTCCCAAGCCACGATAGCCATCGCGTCGTCCTCGTCACTCTCTTCCTCTCCTTCCAGCGCCTGTCGCGAGATCGCCCTTTGCATTGCGGGCAGGAATTTGGCGTAATCGTCGACGTTGAGCTTCTTCAGGTTGAAGTTCTTGCCAATGATTTGGTTCTTGTCTTGGAGCGCTGCGGGATAGTTGATGATCCGGAACTTGTGTTCCCAGGCGAGGTCCAAAAACTTCTCGCCCCACTGCATCTTGTACTTCTCAGCGTGGTCTTTGGGCACCGCGCCTCCGGCCACCAGGAACTGGACTGCGCGTGTCGTCAGTCAATGCCACTCTCCACGTCGCCCGCCACCGCCGAACACTCACCTAATTGCTTCGACATAATTAACCCAAATACACGTCGGTGCGTGTCGCGCGCTTTCTCGTTGTTTTTGCCTTCTAAGACGTGCGCGGGCATGACGATTGCCTCACCAGTATCGCCCCGCCTCTTCATTTCCTCGACTCTGCAAGGAGTGGAGTCCCTCAGCAAACCATACCGTGAAGAGAGAAAAAAAAAAACGCACCCCAACAAATGCTCCATATCCTTGATTTCCGTGTTCAGGGCGTTCCCCTTCTTCGAGCGCCACATCTTGAATTCTTCCGTCCCACCCCAAATAAAACTTCCCTGGCCCTGTGTGTCGATGCAGAACCCCCACACGTGGACGCCCAGAGACTCATGGAGAAGGCGACTCTGCATGGCTTAGTTAGTCTTAGAGCTGCGCGACAATGTCGGCCGTATTCACCTGGTGCACCAGCGGCGCTACCGCCCGTTGGACGTGCGATTTGAATTTGCCCTTGTCCCGCCAAGTGATGACGACGTTCGCCACCGTCCGGTCGTGCCACTCCCGCAGCCAGGCCAGCTGCTCAAATACCTTGTCCGAGTCTTTTAGCTCCTCGTCGGACAGATTTGGCAGCGCGTCTTTGAAGGCTTGTCGAGATTTTGCCGTGTATTCCTTGGTGGTACCTTTAACTGGCAAATATTCGTTAATATCGATTCGAGCCGCAGACAAACCACTTACAATCTTTCTTCGGATGATTCTCTGCATACCAGGACTGCCACGCGTTCCACGCGGTCAGCGCGCGCGCGAACTTGGCTTGCGTGCTCGTCCCGACCAGCTTGTGCAGTACTTCGGGGTCGTGGCCGTACTCCTCCGCTAGCTGAAGTACCTCCGCCTCGTAGGCGTCAAGGGCGGCGGCCAGCTGGTCTTTCAGCTCCTTTGGGATGGGACCTCCTTTCGACCGCCCTGCACCAGACGCATCGTCCGCATCATCCTCGTCATCCTCGTCCCCCGCTTCCGACGTCTCCTTCTCCTTCGCCTTGCCCTTCGCCTTCGCCTTCTGCTTCCTCTTTCTCGCCGCCCCATCCCTCCCCTTGCTCGCCCCCGCCTGCTTCTTCTTTGGGTTCGAAGCAGGCGCGTGCGCCTCCACGGTCTTCTTTGTCTTCCGCCGCCCCTCGAGATCCTCTTCAGCATAGAACGCTGCGTCCTCCTCTGCGTCCTCCTCCTCAGTGTCCTTCTCCTCGTCTCCCGGGAGCTCGCACTGTCCTCGACGAGCGCGATCTTCCCTAGATTTGGCGTAGAGGCGCTTCTTCTCAGCCCGCTGTGCGCCGAACTCATCTGAGCTGTCGTCCAATTCGGACTCGATTGCGGGGGACAATGCGCGGATCGGGGACGATGCCTTGGGGGGCGACGATGAGGGGGGCAAGGCGTCAGGCGTGAGTCGCGTTCGAACAGCGCGCGGTGCCTCGCGCTGTGGTGTGTGCTCTCTGGAATGTTGGCCAGGTGCAGACGTTCTGCTAATCGAGCGCTGGCGAGACCGGAGGCCAGGGGACATGATGTTGAGGGCGTCAAGATAGTCTTCGTCATCTGCCGTGTCCGCCTCGTCAACGATGGGATCGTACCGGACGGTGTCACCATCCTCGAAAGTGTCGAAGACGGTGGTGAGCTCGCCGGTCTCGGGGTTCTTCTCCTTGAGCGCCAGATGTCCGAAAGAGGCTGTGGCCGGTATGAAGACGAGCGAGGCTAAATGTGTCGTCCTCTGCTCTCCCAAACTGGTGGTTGTGGAAGTCTCTTTCTTCCACTGAAGGGCGGTGAGGGCGAGGGCGAGGGCGCACTGGCTGCAGAGGAAGCGCGGCGTCCGTCTCCTATAACCATAGAGCATGTCAGTTTGGTTCCATTGACGTGGCACTAGCGGACGTTCACGCACCAAAGGTTTCGCCTTTCCCTTGTCGGAAAGGACCTCTTCCTCCTTGTCCTTGTCCTCCTGGTCATCCTATATCGATCAAGTCAGGGACCGGCGCACACGGGTTTCTGGGGAAATCACATACCGCGTCCTGGTGCACTAACTCCTCCTCCTCCTCCTGGTCAGAGACGAATCGATTAGCATCCGGCAACGCTTGAGGAAGACTTGTCCTACCAGACGAACGGGTGGCTGCAACTTCGGCTTCTTGGAGGCCCTGACTTCCTCATTCTATCGGACATTTCCGAGTTAGCATGTTGGAATAGATCTGACCGTGGGGCACATACCAAATCGGCTCCGTGAGTTGGCGCGACAGGAGCAGCGGCGGGCGCAGCCCTGCGCGCGCTTCACGAGTTCAACGTATACTTTGAGTCGTCCTGGACCCGCGACAGGGCGTAACTTAGCGCATACTCAGTACGAGCCTCGCACTGGACAATGAAAGAAAAAAAAAATACCTTCGCTGCGTCCGCACCCTGCGTCTCCTAAAGGAGGCACCATTAGCTGGCCTGACGCACTGGACGGTGGCGGGAATCCTACCTGAGCTGGCCCGCCTTCTTCTGCTTCAGCTGGTTCTGGATTTTTTCTCTTCTGAAGTCCATCAAAAACAGCACACAGCGTGTAGAAATATTGGAACATACTTTGGATTTCGATTTCAGTGGGGGCAACGTCGAGGGCGGTTTCGCACGCGAACGAAGAGTACGGCCGCCGACCGCAGGAGCTTCAGCCATGGTAATCGAGGATATTCTGACAAGTGTCCTCAGCGACGTATTTGGGGTAAACAGAAAAAGATTTCACCAGAACGAGAATGTCTTGGAAGACAAGACAATGGCCATGCCACCGCGCGACTCCAATCTGGGATGGTATCAGTCCACCAAAGCCCGGTGCGTTGATCTCGAATTACCGTTGGCCATTGTTCTCTCATCGCTCCTTTAAGAAGGAAGGCCGCCCTCCGCGTATTCCTGCTCCTCGTCAAATTTTCTCCTTCGATAGCCGACCATTGCACTTACCCGCGATCCTTGTCGCTCTTGCCGCCACCGTCAGCCGAACACCACGGTATTTTTCCTGTAAATGTCCATCGTTATCGTTCCTGATACG